CCAAGCCTAGGAACGGAATTAATTTTCTTTTCATCGTCTAGTGGGGGACAGCGGGGATGTCCGGTCCCCGATGTTTGGTTTTGGACCAGCTCCTGCGCAGCCCCTCTCTTCCCTAGTGCGTGAGCGCGGGGCACCTCAGGAGAGGATTAATAAGCTCCTGCCGACGGATGTTAAAGTAACATGACAGTCGAGGACTGAATGCCACGTCACATTTGCACGCATTCACATGGTAACCCGTATGCCTGAATCTACGGTTGCGTTTAACTTGTCTTTATCTGGGAAAAGCGATATAACATTTTCTCGAGAGTGAGTGGTGATAAGCTTGGGTATGCTTGCTAAGGCCGTTTCTTTATTACTATTCCACGTACTACGTAACTACAGGTTCTTAAAGGAATACCTTCTGTAAGTTTGCGAGGATTTCCGTATCGGCAGGCATGCCACAAAGAAGAGAGTAGCTTGTTCTCCCATTGCCCGGCCTGCAGCTGTGAAATCTCGTAGTTCCGCGTATTTTTTGATTATCTTAAAGGTCGCGTTTGTTCTTCACGCTTGATAACGCGCCGGAGACGCGATGCCTGGTGGCGCTGAGTACGGGGCCTGCCGAGGCTCGGCCGGCGAAGACGGTTAGCTCCGACCAGCGTAAGGCAGCGGGGTGCCGCTGTTCTATGCCGTGGTCTAGTTTCCGCAAAGGAGTGAGGTACTTAAAACGAAGGTCTGAAGCCACTGTCGCTCGACTGATTTCTTTGACACTTTCACGCAACACGTGTACGTAAATCCTATGAAAATTAAAAACTTCGCGTCTCCGCAACGGCTTTAAAGCCACAAGCAAAACCTGCAGCGGGGAAGGAAATCTGCCCCCCCCCCCCCCTCCCAAAGGCTGAGCATATGGTTAAAAGAAGCCTCGTAGCATGTTCAGCGCAATGCTCAAACAACGTGATTCGAGATGATGCGATGTTTCCCAGGGATATGTGTTGGTTTTCATCTCGCTTAATAATTTTGATTTATGTGTGCATGCTCCTGAGGGTCCCTATGTTTCAGGATTTCAATGGACAACTGAGAGACAACCTTCGACAGTTTATCGATGCTCTCATACGCATGGATACGGGGGCGCTGAACAGGTAAACTGTTTCACCAAACGCTGCATGTTGTATTAATGCCAAACTTTTCTGCCGTTTAGACACGCGGCCTTGCTGTTCACGACGCGACCGTTTCAAGGCGCCATGAATCCAGTAATCGAGCTATCAATCCTTAGCGGACACCGAATCAGCCCTGCATCCATCGAGCATGGATGCTCTGCCTCGCTGAAACGGGTGATCGTTCGAAATAATGACCCCGACCAGGTCACAGACATGGCCCCGTCACGCCTCACATCGCCTGTTGCTCATCCATTGTCTGAAAAGCCGCATGCTTGTGGTGATCATCGGGCCGCGAAGTAAGCGGAAGCGCCGCCTGCTTACCGCTTGATGCGCTGACCTCCTGGGCGGCCGCGGACACGCGACATTTGCCGAGCCTTGAAATCGATCGCGCTTTTTGCCGTGCCGTGAATCAGCGCGCTGTGCTGGCCGCCGTGCGGGCCGGCCCGGCCCGGCCTGAGAGTGTTAACAGCTGTAGGAACACCTGAGCGAGCGCACCGGCCGGTGTGCGTCCCGGCGGCGGGCGGCGCGCCAGAGCCGCCTGCCGCGCCGCGCGCTCCACCCGCCTCTATGGGGGCCGCCCCGGCCACCTCGGCCGCCGCCTCGCACCCCAGCCGGGCTGGCCGACGGCGCTTCCACTGACCAGCGTCTGACTCGGTTCCAGCGAGCGCTTCTGGAGCGGCCTGCGACGCTCCGTCACCGGCGACGAGTCGAGCGAAGACGACGACGAGGGCAGCAGCGACGGCACGTGCCGGCCGGAGGCTGCGTCGGCAGGCGCGGTAGTCGAGGCGGCGCCGGCTCGGCCGCCGAGTGACGTGCGCGACAGCTCGCCAATCTCGAGTGTGAACCGTGCAGGTGTCGGCGCCGCCGCGGACGCAGTGGCCGAGTTAGAGCGCCAGATCGAGGTGTGCACCGCTACAGAGGCGTCCCCCAGCGCCGCCGGCGCGGCCAACGCCGACCCGACGCCGCAGGCCACTCCCGGCAGACGACCGCCGCCGCCCGACATGGGCAACCTCAAATCAAAACACACGCAGACCGACTTCCTGGCGAGCCTGCGCGGCCGGCGCGGTGCCAAGGCGATGAAGAATTACCGGCTTAGCCGGAGCACGCTGGACCTGTTCAAGGCCGGCGAGGTGGCCGGCTCGGCGCCGACCCCCGCCGCTGACCAGGTCGACCTGGTCAGCGTGCTGAGCGACCCGGACTTCGACCTGACCGACGACGAAGTCGCACGCTTCCGGCGGCCGCGGCCTTTCCCGCAGTCGTCGCTGTCGCATCCGGAGAGCACGTTCACCATCCCGGTGGAGGCGACGCAGGAGTTCAAGTCGCGTCCGTTCCCGCACTCGTCGCTGCCGCCGCAGCGGCCAAGCGCCTCGGGCGCCTCGTCACCGGAGCCGGCCGGCCGCCGGCCCGATGAGGACACCTCGGGCCTGTCGTCGGTGACGCCGTCGCTGACCTCGATCGCCACCGACTGCTCGGTGGCTTCGTCGCTGCTGTCCGGGCCGCTGTCCAGCCTGGAGCCGCGGCCCGGCACGGCGCCGCCGCCCCCAGGTCACGGGATCCCGCCTCCTCCCCCTCCGCCCCCGCTTCCGGGTCACGGGATCCCGCCTCCTCCCCCTCCGCCCCCGCTTCCGGGTCACGGATCCCGCCTCCTCCCCGCCCGGGGTCACGGCATCCGCCTCCTCCCCCTCCACCTCCGCTCCCAGGCCATGGGATTCCGCCTCCTCCCCCGCCTCCGCCGCTTCCAGGTCAAGGGATCCCCCCTCCTCCCCCTCCGCCCCCACTCCCAGGTCATGGAATTCCCCCTCCTCCCCCGCTCCCAGGTCATGGTCCGCCACCCCCTCCCCCTATGCCAGGATGTGGAGGGCTCATACAGGCCCGGTCTTCGGCGTTCCTTACTGGAGCAGCCCCGCCTCCAAACCCGTTTGCCACTCTACCGAAGCCTAAAGCCAAGATGAAGACGCTGAACTGGGCTAAGGTGCCAAACAGGACCATTGGTGAGACGCGCCGCGGTGGCGAATTAAATACCGCACGTTATACCCGTTTAGCTGGTGGACGTGGAGGGAGAAATGCCTGTCGCATGAATGTTGTACTAAATACTGAGTGTATAGGTATGTGTATGTGCCCCATGATGCATTTCTCAGTTCTCTGTGGCTCGGATCTTGTGAATGGGTGGTTTTGGAGATGTGAAGTGTTTGTGGCATGCTTGTTACCAATGCCGGTTACGTTTGTTGGGGTTATTCGATGGCGTGGTCACATAAGATGACATTTTAAAAATTACGTCAATTCAGCTTTCAAGCACGTTGTGTCAAGAACAAGAGGAGCTAAAAGGTATTCTTGGTGGTGTAAGGTTTGCTGAATCGCAACATGATGCCAGGTCAATTTCTTGAAGCCATCAGTTGTGTTCCAAGTGGATCTTTCACAGTGGAGATTGTCGTTGCCCATGAAGATCGTATTTGCAAGAGCGTAGTAGGGCTAGGTCATAGTAAGTCATGGAATGACCCCAATTGATCTCCACCCCCCCCCCCCCTCCCCTCCGGAAGCTGATTGTGTGTGCTTTGGCTTGTGTCAGCCGACTCTGCCGAAAGTTTTAAGCTACGCAGAGACAGTAAAAGCCTGGCTTGGCATTGCTTACTTTGCTTGGCTCGCCTTGATGAGCCAGCCGTTGGTGATAGCAGAAAGTGGCAAATTGAAATTAAAGGCTTTGCAATTTTCCTTTTATATTTAATTGAACCCTGCCGCCTCCGTCATCGAATGTGACGAAATGTTCAGTGCTGGGGAAAGCTAATTGGTATGTTTTACGATAGCCAGTTAGTATTCGATTAGAAATACAGGAAAGGGTGTGTGAAATGTTATGAAATAAACTTCTGGCAGCTCAAACCGTCAAAATAACCGATTAACCTCATTTTGGAATCATTTTGTATGTTCTGGAATCAGCTATGTTAAGAATGACTGATGCGCGTGATGGCAACAACATTCATCCTCTCTTGGAGCCCGAAAACCTGAATGGTGTCTGCATGGCCCTGTCAAGTTGTTCAATGACGAAGCAATTTAGACATGTTCATTTCTCCGTAGCCGCTTCAGCCAGTGGAAGCACCCACATTTAACACGCATCCTGGTTGTGACATTGACCCTGGTCAGCAAGTTCCTCTCAGAGCGTCGCTTGCTGTGATGGGCGCCGGCCGCGGCGACCCCTGCGACTCCTGGCGCTCTCACACGTCACGCCCCGCCGGCAGGTAACTCTGTGTGGCAGGGCGTCACGCGTGCCTTCGTGGCACCGGTGGAGGTCGACTACGACAGCCTCGAGTCGTTGTTCTCGCAGCGCGTCACGCACCGCGCGTCCGCCCACGGGGGTGCCGAGAAGAAGAAGAAGACGCATGAGGAGATCACCCTTCTGGATGGCAAGCGGTCGCTGAACATAAACATCTGTCTGAAGCAGTTGCGGAAGAGCAACGCGGAGATTGTGGAGCTAATCAAAAGGGGACGGGCGGCCGACATCGGCGTGGAGCACCTGCGGGCCCTCATGAGGATCATGCCGGAGGAGGGCGAGGTACGTGAGACCGGCGGCGCAGAGCTGCAACGTCTGTCTGGAGTGGGTGCGCGGCCACGCGTTCAGTGTTGTCCTACGATCTGTGCTCAAGCGGCCGTTCCCTGACAGGCTCCCTGACGAGGACACTGCACAACTTGACGGATTGTGGTCCTGTCTCGCTTGTGACAGTGAGGCGTTGATATCTGGAGAGACGCTTATAAATTACCTCGGGAGATTAATTGTCTGTTCCTCGTGGAATTAAAACTCGAGGGAAACTGGTGCTCAGTGGACCGGTATAATCATTTGAGACTGTCTGCGTCAGTTTGATCGGCGAGCCGGATGGGCGGCGTCAGGTCACAGCAGAGGTCTGACAGCCTCCTAATGGGCCTGAAAGTTGGCATCAGATGCGCGGGCTGGCACGTGTCAGGACACGGATGACGGGGCAGGATGAAGCCCCGTCGGTCGGTCTCAATATGGGAGATTCAACGCACGCGCTCCAGTCGTCTCTAACATGGGGGATGACAGTCGCTAGTTTGCCGTTGGTAATGTGGCTCGCAGGGTGTGTCAGTAAAGCTGCCGTGCTATGACGTTCGAGATGGGTTGTGAGTGTTTGGGAAATCCGGGTGTGTCTCTTTCGGCGAAATGCTTGATAATAGCGCGAATATTTGCGAAACTAGTTGTTTAAGTCCCGAAAGACGAGGTGTTGAAGAAATGTTGCTCAGAAGACGAGATATTGGAAGCATATTTCGGAGTAGATCTGCTGAAAACAAGTTTGATTCATCTGCGAAAAAAATTCGCCACAGAAAATAAAGTCCGTTCTGGTTGTGCGTTTTACTCCCAGAAACCCCAGTTTCGGAATTCTTTGTTTTTTTCTGCTTAGATGCGTCATTTTTGGGCAGAGAAGTTCGGTATATTTTTCTTTCTCGAGAAAAAATTTTTCCTCAGGCTCACGTGAAAACTGACGCATGAGCTTGTATAGAAAAATTGATAAGTGCTGAAATTGTGCGATTAACGTTGCCGCGTACTTATGTACTGATCACGGGCTGCGGCAGTTTATGCGTTGATAAAGCATCATTTGCCACATTATAACGATGCTGTACATCTACGTCGTGCAAATTGTGCGCTTTCTAAGTTACAGCCAATGATATAAGTCGTCACAACGGTGTAAAGCATCCCTGCCCCCAGCCTGAGGTTGGACTGCGTAGATTACACACGGAGAGGGTGCACTACGGCCGGAAAAAGCTACAGCAAAACTGGTTCAGGTGGCGACAAAATGGATGAAATGTCGCTTGCGATGCTGCCACCAGTCGCACATACTTCATTTGCAGATAATAGCGGTGCACAATTTTGTTTTTCAAATTTGTTTGCAGTACTCCGTAACAAGGCGGAACTGTGAATCAAGGCTGTTATTCTGTTCTGTGATACTCATTTCCGAACATTTTGTGAGCTGCAAACGTGGAAAGCTCCAGAAAAGTTGAGTGTGTAAGTGAAGCGTATTTTTTGTAAAACTCATCCTTGATATTCACGCGGTATCCATGATCGTTGGTATCCGCCTCGCGTAGTGTGAGATATGTGTGTTCCCTAATGAAAGCAACATTGCTGTCACCCCATACGAATTACCTTTCTCTCTAACAAAAAACCTTTCTCTCCAAGGATGAGTCACAACGCAACAGCCGTGACCTCACTCGTTCTGTTCCATCAGTTGGTTTGGCACGTTTTTATCCACGTTTCTTCTTTACCGTTAAGCCCGACAGGTGCCTCCGTCTCGGTAGCAGTGTTCTGTCCGGCAGTTGGTGATGTTAATTGGTGGTGCCCTGCGTAGCAGATAGTAGTGACCCACTTTTGGTACAATTTTCATTAGGTAATGCTGGTCGGTGCACTGCAACTGTTAGTGATAGGTGAGCCAGTGTGTCCTGTCTCCGACAGTTGGTTGTTTACCGGTGTTCTGTGCGAGAGTTGGTGGTTTACTGGTGTTCTGTGCGAGAGTTGGTGGTTTAAGGGTGTTCTGTTTGGAGGTTAGTGGTTTACCGGCGTTTGGTGTGGGACTTAGTGGTTTACCGGCGTTCTATTTGGGACTTGGTGGTTTACCAATGTTCTGTGTGGGAGTTAGTGGTTCACCGGTATTGTGTGTGAGAGTTGGTGGCTTACCGGCAGTCTGTGTGGGAGTGGGTGGTTTACCAGTGTTTTGTGTGGGAGTTTGTGGTAAACCGGTGTTCCGTGTCGAAGTTGGTGGTTAGCCGGTGTTGTGTCTGGACATTGGTGTCTTCCGTTGTTCTCTCGGGCGTTGTTGGTGGTTTACTCCTACCGTATTTCTGCCAGTTGGTGGTTTACTGGTGCGTTGTTCAGCAGTAAGTCGTTTACTGGCGTAAGGTCCGGTAACTGGTGGTTTTCCGGCGGTTTGTCGGAAGGTTTATGTTTATCATTGCTGTGCTTGGTAACTAGTGGTATAACAGTATAGTAAATAGTGGTAAGTAGGATTACAAATCTGCCTAACATTTGTTGGTTAACCGTTGCCCTATTTTCCGGAATGGGTGGTTGTTCTGTGCTATGTTGGTCGGTTGTGGTTTCCCGGTGCTCTTTTACCATATACACTGCCAGTTGGTCATGCATATGTGCAGCAGTTGCTGGTGTGCTGGTGCTCTTTTACCACACACACTGCCAGTTGGCGGTGCATAGGTGCGGCAGTCGGTGGTTTATTGGTGCTCTGTCGGGCAGGTGGCCCTGGTGTGCGCCCACCCGGGCCCCCCGGAGCAGCTGGGCCAGGCCGAGCAGTACTACGTGGCGCTCTCCCAGGTACCCGCCTTCCAGTTGCGGGTAGAACTCATGCTGCTGGTAAGTGCGGGCACACGAGCTCAGCGTGGCGACCGTCCAGCCTTCGTGACGCTCTGTCACATGTCATAGATTCCGCTGCGTCAGCTGTGGGGAACCCATTTAAAAATTTTGTGCGATTTCATAGCTTCCTCTTCCTATGTTGAAAATTGTGAAGAACGGAGGTTACTGGGACACGGCAAATTACCTCTGTTGGTTCTGTTTGGATTTAGCTGCACGGAACAGTCAACTTTAGATGAAATATGGTCCGTGTTCACTGTCAGCCACACCTGACCTGTGATGCGCCTCATCCGTGTGAATCCAATCTGCGGACTCCGAGTCATGTCCTTCAGTCTGGACTGCCAGCTCGCAGGTCCGGTAACCCACGCCTGCAGCGTGGGCTCAGTCTGGACTGCCAGCTCGTAGGTCCGGTAACCCACACCTGCAGCGTGGGCTCAGTCTGGACTGCCAGCTCGCAGGCCCGGTAACCCACGCCTGCAGCGTGGGCTCGTCTGTCACCGGGCGTGCGTCAGCAGGCAGCCGCCACATGGTGGCCCGTGGCCCGTCCGTGGGCTCAGGGAGCTCCTGTTGGTGTGTTGTTTCCGCCGATCGACGCGGCCTGCTCTGTCGGCCGTGGGAACGGACCGGTGACGCTGACAGGCCGACGTCTGAGGGTATCCCAGCTCCATCTGAGAGTCTCTCTCTCTCTCGCGAAGAGTCTCTCTTCTATCTCTCTCTTCTCTTCTCCCTCTCTTCCGCTCTCTCTACTCGCTCTCTCGTCTCGTTCTCTCTCGCTCGCTCTCTATCTCTCTCCTCTCTCTCTCTTCTCTCTCTCTCTCTCTCCTCTCTCTCTCTCCCTCTCTCTCGTTCTCTATCTCTCTCTCTCTCTCTTCTATCTCTTCCTCTCTCTTTCTCTCTTCTCTCTCTCCTCTCTCTCTCTCTTTCGCTCCTCTCTCTCTCTCTCTCTCTTCTTCTCTCTCTCTTCTCTCTCTCTTCGCTCTCTTTCTCGCTCTCTCTCTCTCTCTTTCTCTCTCTCTCTCTCGCTCTCTCTTCTCTCGCTCTATGCTCTCTCTCTCTGCTCTTGCTCTGTTGCTCTTGCTCTGCTATGTTCTTGCTCGTCGCTCTCTTCTTCTTTCTTTCTGTCTCTTCTCTTCTTCTCTTTCTCTTCTCTCTCGTTCTCTTTATCTCTTTCTCTCCTTTCTCTCTCTTCTCTCTCTCTTTCTCTCTCTATCGTTCTCTCTCTTTCTCTCTTTCTCTATCTCTTCTCTTCTCTCTTTCTCTCTTTCTCTCTTTCTCTCTTTCTCTCTTTCTCTCTTTCTCTCTTTCTCTCTCTTTCTCTCTTTCTCTCTCTTTCTCTTCGCTCTCTTGCTTGATCGAACTTTGTCGAAGTGTCTTGGCTCAGTTGTATTAGTGGGAAGTTTGTCTCTGGACAGCTAATTGGTGTTCCGCCGTGGCACACGGCTGGCCAGTAATAATTCATCCTTGGAATCTGATTCTGTGCTTTATTGTGACAGATCGGAATGAGACTGGCCTTGGTCGTTGCGCAAATCCGACTGCTTCGTACCGCGTATGGGTGGGCTGATATGGTCGGAAGAACGTGAACGTATGTGATATATGGGATCAGTTTCTGTCATTTCTCCGTTTGAGTTATTGTAGGAGCATTGAGAATATCTCCGTCAGATTCGAAAGTGATTCTGTCGTGTATTATAAAATAACATGATCGTAGTGATTGCGATGTCATTTACGGCATTTTACAGCAATCACTCGTTACAGCAAATATTACCGCCATCACTAAATACATCAGTTTGCCAATTATCTCGGCTACACCAATCCCTGATTAAGTGCAGCAAATTGCCAGGCCCCTGATATATCCACGATTCTCTGATTTCAGGACGCAGACTTTGCGCCGTCTATGGAAAGCTTACGCCCACAGTTCAAAGCTTTAATAACGTCTTGCGAGCAAATCCTGACGTCTGACAGCCTCAAACAGTTTTTGATACTCGTCCTTCAGGTTGGGAACTTCCTAAACTCGGTAAGTGTGTGCCAAAATAGCCGCGTCGTGATCGGAAGCGAGTGTTCGATGCTGCGTATAACCTCGGCGTTTTGGTTTCATGTTAACCCGCTCCTCAGATGACCCGTAATGAGTGCTTTAGCTCTGTGGCTGTAACGCTCGGTGGGAAGAGCGCTTTCCTTCCGCTTGGGAGACTCGGATTCCGCTTCTGGCATACGCTGTGGTTCTGGGTGCATACACGGTCTCTGTGGTCACTAACGGCCACTGTTACTTAGTGACGACGCCTAGCGCCAGGGTTACGCGAACGCGGTGCCGCACCGCCTTTGTTCATAGAAGGATTAGTTGAAACTTCGAGAAGCACTCCGTGAAAGATTCTGCGGGATGTCCTGATTTGGAGTCCGGACATGTTATCGATTACAAACGGTAATTATTTATCATATGTGTCGTAATTCTTTATCATATCTCCCCTAACGTCCGATCAGTTGTGATGTAAAAGCTCAGTGCAGTGTTGCAACGTTGCAGCTCAAGGCGAATGCAATATTGCAGGCTATGCTTGTCCGTCGGTGTGTGTTTCTACACTTGCCAGTTACCGTTACACATTTGTGGTTTTGCCAACAGCTTGATGTTTGTATGGTACTTCCACTGGGCCGCTGTCATCATGTTCCATGAATGTGATCGCCTAAAGTACCTAAATTCCCGCTCGAAAGACATGCCTATGATCTCATGTGGCGGCCTCTTTTGAAAAAATGCGCGTTCGGGTAAATAGTAAACGCTTGCCAGTTTTGTTTTCACGCATAGGAGCCCCAAACAATTGTCGTAATGGGTGATCCTGAGGCCAATCTCAAAGCTGACCTGCAATTTAATTTGGTGTTGAGTTCCAGCGAGGCTGACCGCTCTGCTGAGGTCTTTGGGGTGTGCCATTACCAGTGTTCTGATAATTTCTTCGCTGGTGCTCCAGGATTATGATATGTGCATGCGAGTGCTCTTACCATGTGCTCTTGTCATGTATTCAATAGCGTTTTTACCGTATCCTCAATAGCGTTCTTGTCATGTCCTCAAAAGTTCCCATACCATGTCCTCGCCAGTAGCCTGACCGCGTCTGACCTGCGTTCTGTGTTTTCACTGTTGTCTTGAAGATGTCCGCACATCTGCTCTGGCCGTGTATTCGTCTGTACTCTGCCTATACTACCGCTCTCACAGCATGCTCACCAGGCGGGCGGTCTGAGCGCACTCTCACCGGAGGACTGGCAGAGCTCTCACCAGCGTCGCAGTGTCCTGACCGCATCCTCCGCACGCAGGGCAGCTACGCCGGCAACGCCATGGGCTTCCGGCTAAGCACGCTTCCCAAGCTGATCGAGACGCGGGCCAACAAGCCGCGTGTGACGCTGCTGCACTACATCGTGGAGGTGGCTGAGACGCAGAACCCCGTGGCGCTCGAGTTCACCACCGATTTCCAGCACATTCAGGACGCGGCCAAGTGAGTGGTCGTTCTCCGCGTCCCGCCGGAACTGGCAGCGAGGCCGCGCCCTCGGCGCCGCCCGAGTCGCCGGTGTCGACACTCATCCGGTTCTTGTTCGACACTCGTCCGACGCTCGTTCGATACTCGCTCGACTCTTCAGCCGGCGCGGAGGGCGGCAGACCTCTGAATCACGGCCGCCGCTCAGTGCGCCGTAATTGTGGGCATGTGTTAAGTTTGACGGCGGAAGAGGCTGTTGAATTCTGAAGCGTGGCCGACTGACTGTTAGCTAACTTGAAGTAAACGCTCCGCTCGGTAGGCGTCTCGTACTCGGAATGGGTGTGTGATTTTTATTTCATCTTAGCCTCACAGACGACCGAGTAGTTGCGTAACCGCGTCTGCAGCCTGGGCCTACTGTGGACTGCAGCAGACGGTCTATGTTCGTCGCGGGACCGTGCATGTCACGGGCCTCGCTCCTCATTAGACCAACTTCTGCCCCCACGTCGCTGTTCACCGAAGAGACTGGTGTTTGCGATCCAGCCGAGGCAGTGGGCAGATATTGCCAGCCCGCAGCGTCCCTGGTGACGCGGTGGGTTCAGCGGGGTGAACGGCGGCACGGGACAGCCGCTCGTTGGCCCACACCCTCACTACTGCCCTGCGAACCGGCGCGAGCGATACACACGTGCAGACAGCGGCGAGTCGCCGCGCGCCGTGGCTGCTCCCTGTGGAAGGCCGTCACGGAGGGCCCCCCGCCCTCCCGTTTCTATGGTGCATAGACTGAGCCCGCTACGAGTCCTGACCCGTTGAACCGGATGCGCAGAGAGCTGTCGTGGGTGTATTGCTTCCGAGCCGGATGAGAGTCGTTTCGTTCGCTTATTCAGATCTTTATTAAAATCTAGAGACCCTCCCAACTCATTAAAGACATCCAGCGCCCATTCCGTCTCGGCCCAAGTCTCATTACAAGCGAAGAATGCGTGAAGAAAAGATGAGCATCCTCAAGGCAATCGTGAACCGCACCGCAGTGCTCGCTGGCGGTGCCAGGGTGGTAGGCGGACGACGTCATATAGCCTCAACAGCTGAGTGCGTCGTAAAGCCCCAATGACGATGAACCATAGTGCTAGAGATTCAATGATTTTTTTATTGAATGTGAAAATGCAGTCAGATGCACACTAAATGCAATCTTGCATGCATTTTCCGTGAGCGTGACGTCAGAGATGATGAAGAAAGTTTGGCTGCTGGCTCTATCAGTCCGTTATGGCCCCAGTGGTCACGGACGGGACGGCGCGCGGGCTGTCTTCGGCGTTTGCATGTGTGGTGCGGTCCCCGTTTGATGCTGGGGTGCGGTGTAAATATGTGCAGTAGCACTGGCATGTGCAACAGTCCCCGGTTACGCTGCACCCAGCTGCGTGCTGGCGTTACTTCGGGACGGCTTTCTCGATTTTGTACCCCGACTGGGGCTCTTCCACCACCAGCATACCACCACCAGTTGAGTTCAATTGACCCCCTGTATCAGCCAGAGACAAGCATGGGGCGTTCAGGTGTTGCTCCATTCGCAGCTTCAGCACGAATGCTTCGGCAAATCACTTTGGAATGCGGGAATACAGACAGGGCTCGCACCCATCCGTTGTGCCCCGGACGAAGCATGTGCAGCGTTTGCGAATGGTAGCTGAGCAGTCCGCTCTGGTGTGTTCCGTCGTCGGAGACGCCGCAGCCCGGCGCTGACGTACGCCGTTGTGCCTGTGACGTCACGGCACGCGCCTGACGTCAGGCGCGTCTGACGATGACGTACGCGTGTTTGTGGCGGTGACGTACGCACGTCCAACGGTGATCGATGCCGACAGGACCTCGCTGGACGTGCTGATGGGTGACGTGAACGCCAAAGCGCAGAACGTGGCCCGGCTGAAGGCCCAGTGCGAGTCGGCTCCCCCCGAGGTGAAGAAACAGTTCAAAGGTGAGTCCCGAGGGGAAGAAACAGTGAGTGATGCCGTCCGTGCGCTGGCCAGAACGCTGCGCCCGTCAACACCAGCTGGTCTGCATTTCGTGAGAATATGCGTAACAAAAATATGTGCGCAAAATAGCACCAGCAATGAGCCCATCCCTTAATCCATTGCCGTTATTTCATGGCAACGTGCCGTACCAAGGCACAGTTGGTGGCATTGTTGTGTGCTCATGGGCTAAGTTGGTAAGGAGGAAGACCAACGCACTTCAGACTTTTGGCACGTCAGTGTGCTTCAAGTAGCTGGTTCGCAAGGGAGAAAAATTCGTTTTGGTACTAACTGGGGTACCTTGCGTAGCTTCTGAGAAGGGGGGGGGGGGGTATGGAGCTGATGCTATCGAGCAAAGTATCATGCTATACTGTAAGGCACTGACACCGGGGGGATATATTTGAGATGCAACACATCGCAATATTGCTTTGGAGCGCCAGCGGCCTGCAGTCGCTGGCGTATCAAAGACAAAGATGTGGTTACCACCACGTGACGTAATTGGGATTCAAACCGGGACCTCCACGTGGAAGCCGAAGACGCCAACCTATTGTCCATTTCGACTCCAAGTGATTACTTTTTCCAGCCGTTTCCCAAAAAGATGATTTTGTTTTGCTGTTTGTTTAACAGGCCGTTACTCCTGCTGTGGTTAGTTCACTGTGGTATTGCATAAAAGTGAACAAAACGATGTAATCAGGCGTTAGAGCAGCGCGGGCGTATTTTCCTTATTCACACTATCCCTGTGTCTCATCAAAACCAAAACATCGCCACCAACACTGATTGGCAACAATGCCTCCATTTCTCTTTTCCGAATAAGAAATGGGCCATTGATATACGTTTGGAATACTCATGCAGGACACGCAGAAGATGAATGTCTGAAAGTGGGAACTACATCAGTTGTTCAGTGCATTAGTGAGGAACATTATTAACATAGATAAAAAAGTAGTATTAGCCTTTTTCCTCGGGAAAAACAGGAGAATGGAGATATGTTTGGGTTGATATTTCGGCAGCATGCCTTTGTCGAAACAATAGCAGAGGTGAATTTGTTTTTTTAAATTCACTTCTGCTATTATTTCGATAAAGACATGCTACCGAAGTATCAAGCGAACTATTTCTCCATTCTCCTGGTTTTTCCCCCGAAGAATAAGGTTAATACTACTTCTTATCTGTGGGAACTACATCACACCAACGTTTTGGCATTTTAATACAAATGTTAGAAGCTGGTCGAGTCTCGAATTCGAATCTAATCACCCATCACAGGATTTGAATCCCCAATCGCAGCGAATCCCCGGCTCTAGCACCTCCTTACCGCTGACGTGAGCATGCCGCGCGAGAAGAGTACCTTGCTGGATAGACCATAAGGTGGAAGACTATGTGCCCGCGGGAGTAGTGTATTATTTGTGAGGCCATGTGGTGGTACGGCATTTCATAAAGCCTCCGAAATACAGGCCGGGATCCAGAAAAATGCGACTGACACCGGTTTCTCGTTTGGACCGTGAATTAGTTGAGTTTTAAGGGTGCGTCAATTGCCTTAGTTATCTGCGTCCAGGTGAGGGACTTGGTGGTCCAGCTGACACCCGGATGGCCTCCGTGTCGACAGAGTTTCTGTCGACGGCGGAGAGACAGGTGGGGGACTTGGCGATCCAGATGGCCGAGCTGGGCCGCTGCCAGACGCGCCTGGCGCAACACTTCTGCGAGGACGAGGACACCTTCACTGTCGAGAGCTGCCTGCGGCTGTTCGCCGGTCTCATCCAGAAGATCGAGTCCGTCCAGAAGGTCGGTGGTTACATTATGTCGCACGATTCGGTGTTAACACGTAGTCGCCTGCTGTACTTTCTATGATGGCCATCGCCCACGTTGATTTGTGGTGCAAAACTATGTCCGCATAAGTGCATAATTCTGGGTCAAATTTAGTGTTCGCAACTCGTCACAAAGCTTTGAGACAGCCTGTCAACTTTCCAAAAATTATATTTGTTTGAGATAAAATGAGCTGAGCTGAACTGAGCTGAGCTGAGCTGAGCTGAGCTGAGCTGAGCTGAGCTGAGCTGAGCTGAGCTGAGCTGAGCTGAGCCGTGTTGAGTTGAGCTGAGCTGAGCTGAGTCGTGCTGAGCTGAGCTGAGCTGAGCACGGACATTGCGCCAATGATAATTATGCTGCAGCTCTGTAGGCCATTACAGAGCGCTTCGTTTTCATTTGGTCAGGGAAATTGCGTTTGATCGTTTGGAATGTAGATGACGCCATTAATTACCAGCCTCCGAATGGGAGCGTATGTATGCTTAAACGGCGGCCTCTCGTTTCAACACTCGAATGGGATGAAGGGGCCGTGCCGTGAGAGGCCTTTCAAAAGCCATGCAAGCGGGCCTCTGCCGACATCACGCTAAATAGTGGGACCACTTGACTGCGCCTGTTGGTGCACCAGGCAACGGCATTGCAGAGAGGTCCTGGAGTGTTATTTGAAGCATTTCAATGTTCGTTTGCAAGGCGCATTATCCTCGGGTAGCTCTTGGCGTTAGTGACCTGTGTCGCAGTGTAAGTTCATTGCGCGTGATATTTTGTGTGTGTCTCAATGGCGTTGAACTGCCGAGCTGCTGGTGGGGTTAAGACTTTGATGTCTTGTGTCTCAATGACCTTGAAGTGCCGAGTTGCTGGTGTTTTTTTTTTGGCTTGGGCGTCTTTTTCTCGATGACCTTCAACTGTCGAGCTGCTGGTGAGGTTTAGGCTTGGACGTGAGATGTTCGACAATGCGCTATGTAATGTAGATAATGATTGAGATTGAGATTATTGAAGCCCTTCCGCGCGACTTTGGTTATAATGCACTGCTCCAAATCTTGTAAAAGTTGTGTCTGAAATCGAAAGTAACCGGTATCACAGCGGAAAAGTACGGATTTTATGGTTTTAAAATCAAACCGTTTGATGGCATAAATCGTACAGTGCTAGTTTCACCGTTTCATATTGCTTACCAGTGACCGATTGTTTTTCATGTGCCGATTGTTATTCAACGAACTGTTTTCGGCTGAGGGATCCACAGCGCGCCTTAAAAACATCGAGTAGTATATTCCCTTTGTGAAATGGGTTCCCTGTTTGTCAGTATTCCGCTTGTACCCACCTGGAAACGAAACGCGCTCTTCATTTTCCCGCTCTCCCCTGGCGTTGTTTCACACTTTGTCTCTATTGCCCGTCCCGGTTTTCTTCGTCTTGTAAACAGTCATGATAGTTGCGCGCTATTATGCATGCGCCACGTCATCTGCAGAACTTTTTGAAAACGTGTCTCGGTTGACGCATCGTGCGTCATGTTGGCCGCTTTCTCGGACTGCATTGTAACGCGCCTGGATTATAGACCACTTCACACTGTAGGGCATGGCCTTTGCTTATGATCTGCAGTATTCATGACAGCCGCTTCTTCAGGTGATATTTACCAGGCCTTTAAAGACGCAAGTACACCGAGCCCTCTGCTTGACTTTCTTCAGTTCAATGTTTTGAGTCATGTGTTTGCAGTTACCGTCAATGGAAGACCTTCAGCATAGCTATTTAGTTGGTGCATTTATTTATATAAGACTTCATCTAGCATTTTATTGTCAGGTTGTTTTTGGGAAACGCCAACCGCGGCTAAGCTTTCATATTTTGAGCATGTTCGTGACGACTATATCGGACTCAGCACAAAACTACGGATCCGTGCCTGGCAGGGGCTCAACCAGGATTTGTGATGGGGAAGAGGGGCCACCAGGATTTGTGACCGGGGGGCGGACTTTTTGACCGAGTCTCAGCCTGATCAACACTACCTGTGCACTGTAAACAGACCACAGGCGCAACAAAACAACGCTGGTAGGCACAGCACTCAACAGTCAGCAGGCGAAATGCATAAATGCGATTACTGAGTGGGCATCTCATGGAGTATGGCCCACACCTGTGGAGTATCTCCAACGCTTCCGACGACCTGTGCATTGTCTCGGAACTGCGTCGACCCTCACGTGCGTCCGGGGGCGTCGTTACCTGAGCACCACTACCTGCTCCAATTACCCGCTTCTCCGTTGCCAGGACAACGAGAAGCGGCGGCAGGATGAGGAGCGCCAGAAACGGCGCGAGGAGGAGCGCCAGAAAGCGTCGGCGGCGGCGGCCGCGGCCGCGGCGGCGTCGGCGGCCGGCGTCGGCTCGTGGCGCGACGAGGCGGACGGCTGCGCCAGCCCCTCGTCCTCGTCCGAGTACGAGGACGGGCTCGTCGACTCGTTGCTGGCCGGCATCCGGCGCGGCGAGTTCCGCTCGGTGCGCCGGCGCCGCGAACGGCCGGCCGCCGGAGCCGACAACGCCGCCGCCGCCGGCGCGCCGACGGCCGACCCGGCAGTCAAGACTGAGAAGCGCCGCCGTCACCGACGCCGCGAGCCCATGTTCCTGCTGGGCCGGGAGCGGCCCAACGGTAACGAGCTCCGGTGACGGGGTGCGGGGCGCGCGGGCGGCGAGCGGGACCGGCCAGGGCAGGGTCACGACGGCCGTCGGGGAAATCCTGGTTGTGCTGAATCTGAGTTGATTGAAGTCCGTCAGCATGTGCGTAGTGCACCGAGACGAAATGGAGAGCTTGGCCGTTCTTCGACCGCAGAGATATCGCTTCTATCGTGCGCCTGATGAGTCGTGTATGTTGCATCGGTTGATGTCCCGAGTTCAGGGAGCTCGAAAGCTTCGTAAGGTGAAGGCATCCTTTGAAGACAGTGCTGTGTACGGCATAATTTAGGGATGGTTGCCTGACTTTGTAAAGGGTTCGTGACTTTGTTAACTATTTACACTCAGCCATGCTTGGCCAAGAGGAAGATGATGCGAGCATGTTTAGCCATCTCACGTTGTTTCATCGTTCTGTCTTATGTGACACAGCATTCCGCTTACGATTGCGCGGAAGGCTGTTCAGCTTCATCCATTGTCAGTTACCACGACGTACCTGTGGATTTCATCAATATACATCAAACGCCCTTGTATGTAATGTCAAGTTACACCCGGAGCCTGGCAGCTGTGGCCAAGAAATGAAACACAACAATCTGTGAACACTTAGTTCCTTGCTGAATGGTTCTCACAAGTAGATATAGCCTCCGGGTACTTGCTAAGCACGTGCGTACCGAGTACCAAACGTGCCGAACGCGTACCGCGTACCTGTACGTATACGCTGAAACCTCTGCCCGAGGTTCACTTCGCCTCACACTTCGCCTCTGAAATTTGCGTCCGTCTTTTTTTTTGTTAGCCATAACTGCGGGGGATTTTTTCGCGCGATGCGGTGCGGACACGGTTGTTGCGGGATCTGGTTGTACTTTGAGCAGTTCCAGCGAACCGCTCTGAGTTATCGCACCAAATAACGCAGGGACGGATCTCACCCGGTGCTGCTGGATCGCCCACCCGACATTTGTCTTCCAGATCGCAGGTGGTGGAGTGTGGCAGCTATGATGGGCCATATATCACAGTTGTCACACACGCTGTAGTCCTGGAATTGGCCAGTAAAGCACATGCTCGAGCCAATTAAAACCGTTGTGCCTTAGGATGCAACGATTGCGTCCAATATCTCGCCCAAAAGTCCAATGCATGCCTGGTGTGAAGCTCGGGCACGTGCTGTGGATGGCAGCCGCATAAGTTATAGTTCGGCTCTCCCTGGATGGTGATTCTAATGTGTTGTTTGAATTCGGTGTGCGCCTGGATCTGAACATAAATTTTCACTGTCCCGCGCGGTAGCAGGAAGCTGTGAGGGATGTGCAGGATCAGCGGGTTTAAATATTGTGCTGACATCGCGAGCAGTAACCCGTTTTGTAAACGGGAGCTATAACTCACATATAACTCACAGTTTTGGTTCACGTCCAGTCGTCCCCACGCGTACATGGAAGTAAAAACGCTTTCCACAGAGCTGCACGACAGTTAATTTGCTGGTATCGTCATGGTCCATTGAGCGAAGTGCATGATGATGCGATTATATGAAACAACCAGCGGCTCCGTCCGCAAGTCGAGGAGGCCACAACTGTACCGAGACATAATATAGGATGTCATGGTAATGGGACAACGTATCTGGGCAGACCGTTTTGGTCAATTTTCGCTTGTATCATATTCGCCCTCGTAACATTTTCCGTTGTCTCGGATCCCACTGCCAGTATTAAATTATGAATATCTAGCTGATAACTTTAACAGCTGGTGTCGGTTGTCCGGTGGGGAGAGGACTGCATAGACTAACTTCAACGACAGAAAAGTAAACCAGTCCAGCTTGGGCTTTCAGCGGCCTCTTGTTGGTCTGCATAAACTGGAACAATATTGAGAAGCCAAAGTTCAAACCATCCGAGAATATGCACCTCCCTCTTGGACAGAGATGACCCGACCGCGTGGATTAGGCCACTAAGATCAGAACGGCAGCGGTCAGTGCCAGAACTCTGGCGGAAACTATAGCTGTAGCTGAGCACACGCACAATGTGCTGCATTATCGCGACCTGGTTCGACACGTCATAGACTGCATCCAACGCGCACGGATATCGATGCTGGTACTTTGTCCATCATCACTCCTTGCATTGTGATACCGTTCCTGCGCTGACGTGGTGCATATACTGCTTGAGATGAAAAGGCGCTTGAGTAAATTTGTGACAGCGGCGTCTTTCTCACTGTTTGTTTGTTTCGGGTTGTTGAGTCCCGTTCATCTAGTGTAAGGCAGAAAAACGTCCGCCTTGCGAATGTTGACCAGATCCGCAGTCTACGCAGGAGTTCCACCACGGGCAAAGTTGCGGACGGTGCCGAGTTTCCCCAATATATTTCTTTCACGCAGCGTCCAGCTCGGTGCGACGCCGCATCGCTCGAGGTTGGGGGAGCTGTCCTCAGCACACCGCCCCCTGAGCCGCGGGAGTTCGCCGCACAGTATAACCCCGTCAGGCACGTCAATATTTAGCCGGCAGTTCAACAACGTAGTATGACGCGCCCTCTCTACAAGCGATGCTCATCAGTCGCGATACGGTACGCGGGGGAGTCCGTGGCCGGGTGTTATTGACGTGTTTTGACCCCCCCCCCCCCCCCTCCCCGTGCTGAGCCCAGCAACAGCGTCAGTGTAGCGCGCCGCCGCGGGCCGGCGGTCGGTCCCGGGCTGGGTCAGACCGGGGTCAGCGTTCTCGGTCATCTCGCGGGAGATTTTAGTCTGGTGGAGACGCACCACGGGATCCCCAAGCAGTCAATGCCGGCGGAAGTGATCGGCAGTGGGGCATTACACCCCGACGAAGTCAACGAAAGCTCTTCGATCCCGTACTCGTGAGGATACACAGACGTACGAACACGCCTCCGTTGTAAGAGGGTGGCAAATTTGTCAGCGAACTTTAAATTCGCATGCATGTTTTTCTTAGCTGGGCTGAGAAGATTTATCACCGTTTCTTGAAGGCAAACAATTGTCAGCACTCAGCCCTCCCATTCGCGCAAAGAAACATCAAATATCTTGACACTAAGAACCTCTAACGCCCCGTTCGATTACAAACATGTAATGCTGTGTGTGTGGCCACACGGCAGGTAGAGTGCCACGACACGCAGCACTCTACAACAACAACAGTTGTTGATCTCTACAACAATTGCCACATGAGAAATACAAATTCGCAGTGTGGCGCAATAGATTCTTGCGGCGTTCGTTGGCGGAGGCATCTGACGAATCAATTTATATACGTAAACGATGTAACGCCGACTCATTAGAATAGCCTCGCAATACACATGTTACCTGTGCGATTGCAAAAGTCGTCCTGTTAGTTCCTTCGGCTGGCAAGCATCGCTTGCTCGGCTACTGGTGTTTCAGGGAGCGCCAACAGGTGGCCATTTCGCGCCCGTTCTCAAAACTGATGTCCAGACAAAAACTTCAGTATTTGCCTTGACTCCCATGTTCAGCCACTGTGATCATTTCAAGTTCAGTTTCAAGCTATAGCTTGTCGATAGGTGCAGCAACCGATACACGATGTACGATCTCAATAAAGTTCTGGGACGGGCATATTCGATACGAGAAAGGGCGGACCCGGCCGTTACACTCGAATGTTCTCTGTGGAACCAAATTCAAGAGGTAATTTCAGCCGAGCCAAGGCTATAAAAGCATTCTTTTGAATGCATATGCCACGTTTGTTCGCATTTAGCAGTATTCGTTAAAGGAAGTGTTCTACATTTGACGTTGTTGAGGCAAACGTGACATGTCAATAAGCTCACTTTTGATCACTGGTATGGTTTTAAGTGTAAAAACTGCTCAAGACAACATAATTTTACTATTTAGTAAACATGCTTATCGACATGTCATTGTTTGACTACATCATGGAACGTTTGCATGGCGTCAGGAGTAGCTGCGAAAGTAGCTGTGTGAAATTGCCGTGGTAGCGGCCGGGCTGACTAACTTGTGGTACTTTACCTTGTCGAGAGGTGCTATGCTAATCGTTGCGTTGATTGCACACAAGAAATGTCGCTATGTGCGCGTGTTTTGGCTCTTTCTCGTGGTGTGTCAGACCCTCCCGTCACATGATGGCTCCAGGTGCCGAGGTCAGCGATGAGGGGCTAGGCTGGTTGGCGAGTTTGGTCAAGCGGCTCCTGGCGTGTGGTTGGGATCGCTCGCGGATGGCCGCGACAAGGTGATCTTGCATATTTACCCGTGATTTCATATTGTTTGCTTGCATTCGCGTACTCACTTATGCCGCTATGCTTGTGTTATTCGATTTCCAGTTCTACTTCTGCCATAACTAGTGTTATTACTGAAGTTCCTGTATTACATAGCACTAAACATGATTCGTGTTTGAAACTTGCATGAAACGGATCACCCTGGTCCAGGATTAAACTCCGGTGACGCCCGAAATCGTGCTGACGTACGCTGGACTTGAAAAGTCCGATGATCATATTTTGCGTGGCCTTGAACGCTTAACGGACAGTAAGGTCAGTATTCGTGTGATGCTTTTACGCCGTCATGAATGTCTGGGTGACTATAAAATAGTCTGCACGAAAAAGCCTGCAAAAGTTCACGGTGGGTCGGTGGGTCAAAGTCTCAGGAACCAAACGGAGGCTGTTTAACATGCATATGCTTATCTCACGCCAAGCATGCTTGTAAGCGTTATCGATGCATCGTGATTACGTGGAGATTTTAATCAGGCATATATGGTGCCTGTTGACATTTGAAGTCGATTCGTTCCACACACACATGCTTTTTGGGTTCATTTTAAAGTATAGAACAAACTGGGTTTATCACTTTTCAATAAACCAAAAATTTCATACGTGACCATGATATTTGTTTGCGCATTGCCAACGTGTTTGGTCGCATTTTTCGACCTCACTTTATTTCATACATGCGTCCTCTTTACAACCCACGTGACTTAAATCCTGAACTTCCTATTTTCTCAGGGAGGAGAGACGGATGGGAATGATTCGGTATCCAGACAACGGAACCAGGCATTACTTTACAGGACGGGCAATGTCAACGACTTCAAGATGCCTGATCGCTTGATGCACAGAAACAACATTGAATGTCAAGCCGCAGTCAAAAACACGTGGCATAAACCACTAACTACACGTATATTATTGGAAACCGGTGCAAGCCTTCACAAATGCTTGTCATCAGCCGTATGTTGAGAAGAGCAAAAATGCGCACAGAGAGCGAAAATGTACGCACTTCCGAATCGTCGAAATAATTTGAAGAACGCCTAATGGGCCTTGGATGGATTAAGATCTAAGATCTATCACATCTAAGCAGTCATCCACCCTACACGATACACTCATGGCTGCATTGTGCCCGAAGTTCACCCCACGCGCTCAACATTCTATACCCTGGGGTGCCAAGCATGCTGATGCGAGACGCGCGGGCTGGCCGCGAGCCCTCGAGCGAGGTCCACGACACCCCCGCCGCTGGCGCCGGCATCCTCCCCTCATCCCGATGTCAGAGGCGGGGTGTCGTTACCATCCACGGTGCAACACTTCCGTTCCACGTCACGTCAACGTCACGTCACGTCAACGAGCAGCCTCAGAGCGCTCGCCCCCCACACTGGAACAGCCACCCGTGTTACGCACGCGCCTGTTTTGATCCACTGCGCTCGCGGCTCGCCTCACGCCACTCCAGTGCGACTATGATAGGATATCAGAGCCATGCCTGGCTCGCAGACACGCGGAGAGTCCACATTAAACATGAAGAATCGTGGCTCCACCGCGTCTCTGAAGCGCGCTGCTTCACGCCTTAGGTGTGCGTGGGAGCAGCGACCGAATCCTCCCCAGTTCAGGCATCGGTGGCCGACGTCATCCTTCGCCCTGTCGCTGGATTGACGAGCAGTTCCATGCCAGTTTTCTCCCTGGTTGTTGACCTGGGTCCCCTCGTTGAGGAGTATACCGGGGTCATCAATATCCACTGTCTGAGACGTAGTCCTGCCACACTGCCGCGGGGATATTTCCACGTAATGCAGGGACGCGGGATCCACATCCCACTTCCTCCATCGCATGTCCCAGCCAGAGTGGAGACACACGGCCCGCTTAATGGTGTCTCTTTGTAAACAAAGCACAGCATCTTACTCCGTCCCCATACGCCTGCTCTGGGCCCGAGTCGACTCCGCGCCCTCGACCGCGTGTGACCCGGCCGCGCGGCACTTCGACCGCGCCGCTCCCGCGTCTCCGCTGTCCGGCGCACGGGCTCACACCCTCGTCTCGGACGTGTCGCCGTTGGCACGCGGCGCCGCCGTGCCCAGCAGCGGGTGCAGGCGGCCGTTGGTCGCCGGGCCGTCGGCGCTCTTCGCCAGCAGCGGCGTGCCGATCGGCGACCTGTTCGGCTCGCGCCGCGCAGAGCCCGTGGTGCCCGTGGTGCCCGTGGTGTCCTTGGTGGACGAGTTCAGTTGGTGCTGCACGCACGGGTGGTGCAGCGTGTGGTTCACGCTGTAGCGGGACGCAGGTCGACGCTTCCCGCAAAGGGTTTCCTGGAACAAAGAACGGGCCGGCGTGGTCACTTGCCGCACCCGACCAGTGCTGGAGGCCCTTCTTCTCACCCGTTCCCCCAAGAGAAGGAATCAGCACCGCACCCGACAACCCGTCGACCCGACGTGGTACTATCCGGAGCGTGCAGTGTGGTAACCGTTGTCCAATGCTCATTTCTTCATAAAACACTACGTCTCTCTCTCTCCCTCCGTTCGCTCTCTCTTCTCGTCTCGTCTCTCTTTCGTCTATATCTTCTCTGTACTCCATCTCTTTGTCTCTTTCTTTATTCTCTGTCTCTCTCTCTACTCTCGCTCTCTCTATCTCTATCCTCTCGCTCTCTCTCTCTCTCTCTCTCTCTCTCTCTCTCTCTCTCCCTCAGAATGTGTTTTTCCGGGTGACTATGAGCTCTCGAACGAAACGGGGCACTCGGCGATACGACCGGCGCATCAGATGTTTCTTACGTGCGGCCCGGAACTGCTAAATTCCCGGCACGACGCTCGCGCCCAGAAACAGCCTCATAGATCGTTGTCTTTATAAACGGCGCTCGTCGCGTAAACACCATCATAAATGTAGTGGACAGAGGACTTTGTCTCGCGTTCGACGGTGGGAGCCGCGCTGCTTCGGACCGAGGCGGCTGGGCGGCGACGGGTGCGGCGCGGGCTGTGGGCGGCGGCGGGTACGGCGCGGACTGTATGCGGCGGCGGGTACGGCGCGGACTGCGGGCGGCGGCGGGTACGGCGCGGACTGTGGGCGGCGGCGGGTACGGCGCGGACTGTGGGCGGCGGCGGGTACGGCGCAGACTGTGGGCGACGGCGGGTACGGCGCGGACTGTGGGCGGCGGCGGGTACGGCGCGGACTGTGGGCGGCGGCGGGTACGGCGCGGACTGTGGGCGACGGCGGGTACGGCGCGGACTGCGGGCGGCGGCGGGTACGGCGCGGACTGTGGGCGGCGGCGGGTACGGCGCGGACTATATGCGGCGGCGGGTACGGCGCGGACTGTGGGCGGCGGCGGGTACGGCGCGGACTGTAGGGTGTGGCGATTTCCCCACGAGTTTTGCCTCTCGTGCAATGGCTTTATGGAATTGCCCCCGCCTTAGGCATGCACGGTGTTTCGCACGGTGCTTTATACAAGTGGGATTTCAATCGTTATCAGATGCCAAACGGATTACCCGTTGAAACCATCGACCTATGGCAATGATCTATGCACGGCGTTTTAGACGGTGCATTAGTTGATTGGGATTTCAACAGTTATCAGCTGACAAATGGATTACTTGTCAAGACCATTAACCTACGGTAATGATCCATGCACAGTGCTTTACACAACGCACTAGACGAGTGGGATTTCAACTGTCATCAGCTGCCAAATGCACCCGTTAGATCATCATTCGATAGTCTACGGCACCGGTAACCGCCGCTGACGCATTAAACGACACGTGCAGCCAGGAACACTGACCTTGAACGCCTGCCGGTACTTGGCCGACATGACGTTGTACAGAATCGGGTTGATAGTTGCGGAGAAGTAGTAGAAGCAGCCGGTGATGTAGTACATGTACTCGTTGATCTCGCGGTAGTTGGGAAGATCTTTGCCGTAAATGTAGAGCAGCCGCTGGGCATGGTGCGGGGCGAAGCACACGAAGAAGCCGATCACAACTGCCACTGTAACGACCATCGGCTTATATCAGTTAACCTGTGTTAAAAACCGACATAAAATATCCAATTGCATTTCGCTGACCTAAACTAAGCTTAGGTCACTCGCATCGTTATAAGCACGTGCAACGCCAGCGCGTTGCTAAATCGGTCGAGAGTATCTGAAAGCTCAGCAGAGTTTTCAATGTTCGAATGGACAGCCTGAGCACGAGCTCTTTGACAGCATTGAATACCTTTTGGAGCGCAGGAAATGTTTTCAGGGTCCGTGAAAGCTCTGCGCAGTAAAGAAGTGGTTCCATTTATGAAACTGGCATATTATGCATTGTCCTATTACTACGAAATGACATCGCGGTCTCCGTGTTGCCTGGGATACACTTCTGCGCATCTACAGTCTTGTCTTTCACGAACTTTCTGGGGAATGTCTTACGGATCAAGGTGAAAATCACCAAGATCCGTCCAGCTGGTGGATACTCTGAACCAAATGAAGATGATGACGCAAAACAATCCGACAAGTCTCTTGACGCCCGGTACGGCATTCATACCCTCAGGTTATTCCGACCTGGGATATCCAATTGTCATAGCTGCCGCTAACTCACGGTTCGAAAGAACCACAGACGGCTGTTGGCGGCCGGCAGCCTATTCCAAGAAGCTGCAGCACGATACGAAAATTATGCTGCGCGTCTGAGATAGGGCACCCCTCAAGTTCCACTTCTTCAGCAGCGATCACCCTAGCTTTTTCCTACACTTGCGAGCGTCCTACAAAGGAAGCTTGACGGGAGCTGAGCAGTCATGTCCAGTGATAGCTCTTTGAACTTCCAGGCGGTTACACGGTGCACCATTTCATCTGGCCTACATCACCCAAGCAAAACAATGGCTGGTGTGATGTGTTTACTTCCCCTCCCCTCCCCCCACTCCTGTCGGGATCGATATATATATATATATATATATATATATATATATATATCGATGTCGATATTCGATAATCGGGCGGCGAAATTCATGCGCCTCAGTATCCGAGACAGCCGACAAAGGGCGCTCGTTCCCAGACCGACACAAAGGAGATGAGATGGAGAAGGCCGTGGGCCTGGACGGAAAGCTAACGATACTGGGGTGGGGTGGTGACGGCATCCGCAGAGAGATAAAAGGATAGGTTTACTTTTACGAACCACGACTACACCCAGAACTTTCGCGGAAGAACGGAGTGAGCCGTGTGGGCCTGACTAAGCGGAGTGCGAACCGAATGCCTTCCTGCGAGTAATTTGGAGCTTGTGACGCTAAAGCCAGCTCTAACTGAATGCATTTTAGCGCTGCTCGTGTCCAAATTTGCAGTGACGAATGCACTCCTCGGCAAGGGGATTCAGGTAGCAAACGGATATACGTGTTATCGGCATAACAAAGGAGTCGCATATGGAAGAAGGGGGAGGACAGGCCGTTTATGAAAAGCTGGAAGATGATTGGTTCGACAATGTGCACCACCAAACGTTTATTTACAGTGGCATTTAGTTTTGCAACCCGTGAGACAGCATTCGAGATTCTGGTGGTGGGCACTATATTCCGTCACATCTCTTGTTACATGCCTGCATGATCACCGAAGCAACTCGATCCATTTCGAAGCAATACTCGGACAATGTCACAAAAGTGTGCAAAACCCAAGGCTCTATTGCTCTGTTAATCACGTGATAAAAACACTGAGTCTACGAATTCATATCGACGAGGTATCTGCGCCTCCAAACACCATCTTTGTAGCCAAACATATTCAGCAAAAAGTTTAACGATAGCACAGAGTGGCATTATCACCATAATCTTCGCTGACTTCTTTCACATGATTTCTCCGACTTTCTGACTTTTTTTGTGACCAGCTCTTTCTGAAGGTCGCGCCGATGTGCGCCCGGGTCTGCACGTGGGTCTGACGTCACGTCCCGCTCCCGGACGGCGGCCATTTCCTCCGTGTCCCCGAGCTCGTCAGCGGGGAACGCCGGCTGGCTGGCCGGGTCTGGACACTTCTGAGGCGGTCCCGGCTGCGGAGCGCCGCCAGATAGCGGCGCCGGCAGGGCCTTAGCGTGCCGATGGTCGTGCGTGATGCATGCGATAGCCACCCGGCACGCAATCACGAGCGCAATCTCGCTGGCGCGCGCGCCGCTCGGCTGACGAGGAGACGGAGACGGCGAGAGAGGCGCGGCGCCAGGCCGAGAGCGGCGCCGGACGGCCTCCTCACAGTGTGGAGCATGTGAGCATCCCCGCCCTCGCCCTCTGGGTAACTACCGCCGGCATATTCTCTCGCTCCTCTTCTCCCTCTTCACACTTCTCTCTCCGCACCACTCTCATTGCCTGTATTACTCTCCACCCGTCCCTATGTCCACCTTTCTCTCGTGGCCTCCATCTCTTCACCAACTTCCTTCTCAGAGCTGCTTCTGGAGTAGTGTTTTGGCCATTACTTTGTTAGTTGATCTCTTTGGATAGTTTGAAGGGGGACAATTTAGAGCTGCTACATTCGTATTCATATATATTGCATAAGAAAACACTTTTTGGAAGCAGTGCGGTACATTTACGATGCCTGTTGTAATACAAACAAAGCCCCAGGTCTAATTACAGGAAATCGATAACGAGCTAGACCCGGAACTACTCTACAGGTCGACCTGATCACGCACGTCAACGTGACGTGCCAGTAACACTGGAATCCAATTATGGCCTGTTATCAAGCGATGCCGTTGAAAAGATCGTGCCTGGGCAATAGATATTTCCGTGAAGAAGTATCCATAGACAAATGTCATGAACATTCCTGCTTCGTGCCGACAGATACTGCCCTATAGCTCACGGTTGTACGTGACCGGAAAACATTCCATGTTTAACAAATAGGAAAGCATGAACTGGATAGAACGGTACAATGTCTTGATATAACGAATTATTTTGGGTGCAGCCTCGCTACGTAATGTCCTACCGTTGTTAACCAAATTATGTGCCACGAGTTGGGCAGAAAACAGAACTAATGCCGGAACGTGTGAAATTAATGACCGTGAGTCGAATGCCGTTTTTGTGAGCATGGTTAGGATTTTGGTCACCTAAATCAATAGTCCAAGGTAAAATAAGGCCAAAATACTAGCCGCATGGCACCATGCGCAACAATGGGCAAAAGCTACCTCATTTATTTACAGCTGCGTATATGAAACCCGATAATGCTTGATGATGCGGAGTAACCTCGTGATTCAAAATTTCCCAATAAATAGTAGAGTTGTATTAGTACAGCTGTTTCTTACTTTATGCAAGCAAACTCGATGTCAAAACTTAGAAACTTACTTCCCACGTCGAAATTGTATGTCTATTTCCTTTATTGAAACTGGTTTCTGGTAAATCTCGACCAAGGCAGCGTTTTAGTCCTTAGTCTTACGGCGTAACAGAACGCAAAAAAGTGATAACATATCCTCGGTCGTCATTTGCTGGGTTCAGAAAGATACTTTTGACTCAGAATATTCTGCTCGTTCAAGACATTGACCCGTCTGAAAAAATTGTTCAGAGGGGTCAATGAGTGGTAATCATACGCATTGCAGCAGCCCAAAATCACTCTGCACAGATTGCGCGCTCTTGGCGCACAATGGAGATGATAATACGCCGTCTCGCTTGAAATCACCTGTGCCTGGATGCAAGCTAGTCACACCGCACCGCTGCACCCTTCCACAAAGGGTAGGGCACCCCTGGCGGACGGGAAGCTAAAGGTGACCACCCGGCGGGTTTTGCATGTCAGGGTATTCACGCTGGTGGGCTGAGGGGTGGGCGGAAAGAGACCGCTAAACTCGGCCGCAATGACTACGACGGTCACGTGAGCAGGCGGGCCAATCACCGCTGGGCTCGTCCGGGTACCGCCCAGCGACACCGGCTGGCCGGACCTGTCCGCCGCAGCTGCGCGGCGTGTCTTCACGGCTGGAGTACACCGCGGTCGCGAAGGACAGCAGTGCATGGATGGTGTCCGAGGGTAGGATGCAGAGCTAGCTGCTGTCTGAGAAAAGAAAGCTGGACTACGGACGGCTCTTTGACCTGGCGCGGGTCGGGTACGGGCCGGGCCGCGGCCACCGACTGCGCGACGCAGGTGTGTTCAACCTCGCTGGCCCGCGGCAGGAGGCCTACGTTCCAGACACGGCTGGGCCGCGCACGTAGTTACAGGAGACAGTGCTTAACGCCAGGCCGGGCAGCTGATACGGACCACATGCGTGTGACTGGCCGGCTTCGAGCGATTGGGAGATTGGGATTGGGAGCGATTGGGAGAGTCCCCATGGGCCCGGGCCTCTGTCGTCGAGCGGAGTCAATCCACCTGACCGCACTCCAGCCGGCCGCCCCGCCCGCGGCAACAGCGGCCAGATCGCGGTACATTGGTGCGGCCCGATGCCGCCAAGCATCAATAGGCCCTCCCGGCTGTAACGATACGCTGCTGAGTCTGACCATGTCGAAAATATAGGGTTGCATGTATTGACAGGATCATGACGATGAATTAGATCTGCTAGTGGAGATTACTATCACTGCAAAATGCAAAAAACGACCAGTTTGCTTTTCCAATAGGAAATAGCATGCCATCGTAACCTCAACAACAGTTGGCATCATGAGCGTGGCGGCATTCTCCGCAGCTTGCTTTTTCATCCTTTCACCCCAGCCACTTGCACGTTTTCTTTGGTTGCTTGGCAGCAGACAACAGTTCAAGTCCCTGCATCACAATAAATCATTGCAGTCACATTGCAATAGTGCAAGTCATCAGATTATGAAAAATTGCACGATATGACGCCGATAAAGGTAAAAATGGGTACCCCTTGCAAGGGTGTGAACTCAAGATTTATAGCCGCCTGTGCAAAGTCTGCCTGCCACAAAAGACGCCACAAATCACGACTCTTGTGATTGTAGCGGTTACAAGAGCCATACACATGAAATGACGCAACTCACTTTGATAAGGGACACATACACTCTGTCCGATGCACTGCGGCAAACCGCTATGCCACTTGTGTCTACGTCTGGTGCAGTGCGACACG